CCCAACAGCACACCCTACCCTACCCTACCCCTGGCCACACAGAGCTCCTTTGTGCAGCCCTCGCCCACCCCCTTCCTGCCCGGAGCAGGGCACCTGGCAAGCAGGTCTGCCCCAGCCCCGCCCCCTGCCAGCCCCCGGCCCTGGGTGCCAGGTGTGCGTGCGCCGCCAGCTCTGGCTGGACCCGAGGGTCACCCTGCCGGGTGGCCCTCCCTTCCTCCCTCCGAGGTCACCCAGGGACTGCTTCCCGTCCTGCTCCGCCCCCATCCCCTCCTGCCCTTGGCCCTTCCAGACTCCTGTCCTTGTCTTTCCTTCGGTCTCCCTGAGGATTCCCCTCCTCCAGCCCCACTAGGCCCTTCCCTCAGCCTCTCACCCCCGCCCACCTCCTTCCCCTGAGAGCTCCTTGTTCCGCAACCCCCTCCTCGCCCAGGTCTGAAGAACTCCTCCTCTTGGAAAGTTGTTGCTGGAAAGGAAGTGACTTCAGCGATTTGGCCACAAGGCTGGGCACTGCTGAGCCCAGCTCAGCTGAAGACTCACCCAGCCCACCTCCAAAACACAAATGGAGCTGCGTGCACACACCATCCCCAGTGTGCACTCAGGACCCTGACCACACACTTGCCCATTGTGCCCACAGATTCCTGTGTATACCATCCCAGTGTACCTACACACCACCCCAGTGTATTCAGATTGTTGTCTACACACATCCCTCAAGTGTACACTAGCTCCCTGCACACACATACACCATCCAGTGTGACATACACAACATGCCAGTATTCATACACCTGCCCAGTACACTTTGAATCTGCATGCTCACTACTCCAATGTACCACACACATAGCGCTTGAGCATCTCCCCAACCCTGTCCCCATATATAACTCCTGTGTACAGAACCCTGTGCACCTAAGCAAGCACCTGCTTGCACACAAGATGGTCTGTACATTCACAGTCAGGCGCGCGCGCGCGCACACACACACACACACACACACACACACACACACACATCCTTCCACAAATGTACCTCCCCACCCTTTCAATCCCAGGAGGCCCCGCCCCCAGACCTCAGGCCCCAGGAATGCTCCTTTGGAAGCTGGGTGGGGTCCTCAGGCAGGCTGGGCTCTGGGGAGCTTCCTGGAGCCCGCAGGCTTGGTGTGTCAGTTTAGGGAGTTGCCTCTGCAGGGCAGGGCATCCCCACCTTGCCTTTGCAGCTCCTGAGCCCCGGTGGGCTCACCAGGCCTGGGCCTGGAGTAGGAAGGCAGGTCCTGCCCCTGCTCCGCCCTGTCCTGTGAGTGCAGCCTAGCATACCTGTGCTGCCCAGGCCCTCCCAGCACCTCACCTTGGCCTCCTAGTTGTCTTCTTCCACAGACTCCAGGAGAGAGGATCCTGGGGGAAGCAGCAGCACACATCAGGCACTCTGGTTTCTACCTTGGCCTTGAGTTCTGGTCACTGTCACAACCCTCTTCTCCTCCCAGCTCTCTCAGGTCATCAGAGCACAGGGAAGAGTCCTCAGGCTAGGAGTCAGGACTCCAGGAGGCTCACTGTATGTCTGTGGGCCTCACTTCCCCCTTCTGGATAGTGGGGAGTTTGAATAGGTTGGGCTGACATCTTTTCATTCTACAAAGGGCCTTGGCCTAAGCTGGGATGGGATCCCTGCTGGGACTGGGAAGCAGGTCCCCTGATGCCCATTTCCCTGGGGGTGGCCCTCCCCATACACAGTTACCTGGGCGGGCTGTGCAGACAGGCCCAGCTCAGCAGAAAGGGCCTGTCTCCTTCAACGTCTCTGGGGTGGTCTCCACTGCGGCCTGAGCGTTGCCCCGAACCCGGGGCCCTCTGCACGTGCTCAGCTGGGGGCACTGTGAGGTCCAGGCCAATGGGTAGGCAGGCAGGCAAGCTCCCATCTGTGGAAGGAAACACAGCATCCCAGGCATAAGCACAGACACAGAAAGAGCCAGACGGAGGGATGGGATGCAGAGGGACATAGCACCAGGAGGCTGTCCTAGGTAGGGGTTTAATTTATCTCCAGACTCATCCTATGGGGAGGTGTGAGCCTGTCTTTTGGGACCTCAGGCTCCTATTGCGAAGTGGTGTCTCTAGATGTATGCACAAGAATGCACACACACACACACATATCACAGTAGAAGGAAGCTGGCCTCTGAAGTCACACGGTTCTTGGCTCAAACCTCACTAGCTGTGTGGCCTTGGGTAAGTCAGTTGATCTTTCTGGTTCTCAGTTTTTCCATCTGTAAAGTGGGGAGAATAAGATCTAGTGTATGGGAAGGAGTGCTCTGAGGAGGCTGTACATTCTGAGAGCTTCTTTACAATGCAGGTGTGAGAGCTGCTGTTCACAGAGGAGGGATGGTGAATGCAGATTCCATGCGGGGTGTGTATGCAGCTGGCCGTTGCCCTTCTCCATCAGCAACTGGTTATGTCTCTTGTTTTCTTTAATAGCCATGGCCCTCCTCACCACCCCCCTGCTTCCTGCCCATTTGTCTGCCTCCCTGAGGCCTGTACTGGAGCCCAGAGGGGGTCTGGGAACCAGGCCTCATGCATTGCTTCTAGGTTCTGGTTGCCTGGGAGTGTGTATGTGCGTGATGGAGAGCCTGCCTGTATAAATGCGTGTCCATGAATGTAGAGCTATGCGTGTAAACACACCTGTATGTGGGTTCCTCGGTCTCTTTAGCCTGTCTGTCTTGCACCTTTGTGCGTATTTTTGTATGTCTGTGTGGATACATGTGTGTCTAAGAGTATACATGTGTGGGAGATTGTATGTTTGCTCAGTTGTGGTCTCTGTGGTTAGCCACTTCTGTGTGTGCATGCCAGGCTATGTGCGAACCTGGGTTCAGTTATATGCGTAGGTATGTAACCTGAGTCTCTTCAACTTTGTATGTGTGTCCAGCTGAGCCTGTGTTTGTATGCCTGTGGGGGCACACAGGTGTAAGTTTTTGCCTGTGTGTGCTCAGGTGTGCCCAGCTGTGGTCAGGGTATGAGGGTGCTTGTATGTGCACACACACCGCCTGGCTCTGTATCTCACTGTGCCAGGAGCCACCCTGGCTCCTGCCTGGCTCAGAGCTCTCTGGATGCATTTGGTGGGGGGTAGGAGCATGTGGTTGATCCTCTGCTGTCCCTGCGGGTTTCCAATCTCGGGGCCTGTGACTGCCGGCACTGGTGTCACTGTGGATCAGTGTTCCCTCCTCCCTCCCTCTGCCTTTCTCTGGGTTTTCAGGGTCATGGTGTGACCGGTCATGGTGTCCCTGGAGGTCTGTTTCACCATGGGTCAGAATGTGCTTGTGTGTATGTCCATGCACGCGTGCATTTGTATGACCTTACCCTTGTATGTAGGTGCATCACCGTGTGTTTCTGTGTACGTCAGTGGGTCCCTGTGCTGTTATTGTGTGTCAGCGTCAACACATGTGAGAGGGTCTGCGCCTTGGTGTTCGGGTGGTACCTTTGTGTAACTGGTCAGTGCATGTGAGGGACCCTTTGTGAGACAGTGTGTGTCTGTGTCACTGTTTGTGTATGCCTGCTCCCCTCCTCCCTCCCTATCTCCTGCTCACTGCTCTCTCTCTCTCTCTTGCTCTCTCTCTTTTTCTCTCTCTCTGTAGGAGCCAGACAACTCCCCAAGCCTGGATTAGGGACAATTTATCCACAGGCAGAGAAGGAGAATTCCAACCTGCCAGAGCCTCCCTCCTCTGATCTGTCCCCCCTTTCCCGTGGTTGGGTGGGCACGGAAATGCAGTCCAGCAGCTCCCAAGCCCTTGGGGAGCCCCCACCCCTGCAGCTCCCTGGAGGCCCAGGGTGGTGGAAAAGATGGAAATCTGGGTGGCCCCAGAGCCCTCCAGTGGGGGTGGATGGGCTGCCCCCCCATCCAGGCCCCCACAGTCCAGTTCCTCTTGGCCCTGTTCTCCTCCATGGGGTGGTGGGAGAAGTCTGCATGGGGTCTGCCTGACTCTGGGGGCTGGGGGTGCCTAAGGAGCAAAGCTGCCCGCAGTCCCTCCCCAACCTGACACTAAACATCAGCTACCCCACCACCCCCTGAAAATGTAAATGGCTGGGGAACTTGCAACTGTGCCCACACAGGCTGGGGGGAACTCGAGGAGGCGGGGGACAGTGGGGGGGAATGCGGAGAGGGGGGAGCAGGGGCTGAGCTGGGACTAAGGCTCCCTTCACGGTGCTCCAGGCGCAATGCAGAATCACATGTTTCCCATTAGCTGCTCTGGCCTCCTTGTTCAGGGGGTGTTGGCTGGGGGAGATTTGTTCTGGTTGCAGACACCAGCCGAGACCACACAAGAGAGAGAGGAAAAGACAGAGCGGGAGAGAGCCTGAGGGAGAGAGGAGAGACAGAGAGGGAGAGCAAGAAGGATACACAGGGAGCCGCAGAGACACAGAGAGGGAAACAGAGACAGAGAGATGCGAGAGACAGAGACAGACAGTGACAGACAGAAACCGTGAGACAGGCACACACAAACACAAGAGCGGAGAGACAGAGCCTGGCAGTGGAGAGAGGCTAACAGAGTAGGGGACAGCGACAGGGAGATGCGGTCAGAAAGAGAGGAGAGACGGAGACTGAAGGTGGAGAGAGGGGTGTTAGTGGTGCACAGGTGCCAGCCTGAGGCCAGGGAGGATTGGGAGGAGAGAACCAGGTAAGAGAATAGCGCTGGGGAAGAGAGCCTGACAGAGATGGGAAAACAAGCCAGGAACCCAGGACCAGACAGTTATAGAGAGAGAAAGGGAGATGGGCTGAAAAAGAGATAGTGAGGCCGAGACAGAGTGGTGAGTCACTGGTGGGCCAGGGAGCAGGGTTGAGGTGAGAGCCTGGTGTGGGCAGTGGACGGGCCAGAAGGGCAGGAGGGGCGTGGGCAGGTACACTGGGCACAGGCGGCAGAGATGGCCGTGCGTGGGCAGGGGGAGTGGACGTGGCTCCCAGACTTGGCAGGGCGGGGGCGGTCAGCGCGCCCTGGAGCCTCCCGCCTCCTGACCCTCGAGCTTCAGAGAGATAACAGGCCCGAATAGTGCTGACTTGCGGTTCAGAAATCCAATATCCTCCACAGCACACTAATCGACTACCTGAGCTCCCGGCCCGCGCCGAGCTGCCCTGATTAATCCTGCGGCTCCACAGCCTTAATTAGTTTAACAGTTTCAGGGGCAGAAGAGGCAGAGGGTCCCCCTGGCCTGCGGGGACACCACCCCCCATGTGAACCCTGCCTGATGCCCCACCTCCCCAATCACACACCTGCCCCACCCCCACAGGCCCCTTTGCACACCATCTGAAAAACACTGGGTCCTTCCTACTGGGGAAGAGTCCCAAGGGCTGGCATCTGGGTCAGAAGGTAAATGACAAGGGGACAGAGATTCTCCCCAACTCTATGCTCTGGGCCTCTGGTCAGCGGCCCTTTGGGGCACTGAAGTCTTCATGGAAAGGCTTCGCCAGCTGTTGACCCCATACCACTGGGCAACATATTGTCTCCTCAGGGTGAGAGAGAAGCTCCCAAGTTACTGTCAACTTCCCAACAGCATGAGATAATCACACAACATGTCATCCCACAACAGCATGAGATGGGTACATGGTGGCGGTAGCGTCTCTCACACACACATCCCCAACAATCAGAGAGATAGGCAATCAAGTCAGTGACAACCCTCCTAATAGGATAAGCTAAGCGCATAACCTGTCACTCCCCTCAAAGCATGAGTTGGGCACCTCTTACACCCCCAGACAGTATGAGACAGGTAGGTACACAGGTTGTCACCCCTCACTATGGTATACCCAGCACACAAACGGGCACCTCCATACCCACTAACTGCATATGAGATACACAGAGAACCTGTCACATACACCCCAGAAAAAGTCACACACACAGACACACACAATGTGAAACAAGTCTCATCCTTCAGATGTGAGTAAGGTACAGACCCTTCTACCCCACCTGACAGTATGAGGCTGGGACACAACCTCACCCCTTCCCCATGAGCCCTCCCTCCAGACTGTAGGATGGGTGCATGATATGTCACCTCCCTGACTGCTTGGGACAGGTGACAGCCCACCCCCCAACCCCTCCCCCATCACTGTTGCCAGTCTGGGTGGTGCTGTCCTCTGCCTGCAGAGGCGTCACAGCTCACAGGGCATGAATGTCACCCCAGCACTGCCAGAGCCAGGCACAGCCGCACGTTGCCCCAGTGACAAACACCACTGGCCCCAGGAGGAGGTGGAGGCGCACAGGGCTCTGGGCGTGACCTTGGTCCCTGGACAGCAGGAGGCAAGGTGCTGCGGCCTCCCTCCTGGGTAGCCCAGCGGCCCAGTGTGGAGCGAGGACTGCTGGGAAGGAAACCACCTGGGCACACAGACAGTCTGGAAATGCCACCGCCCCCAGCCCCATTTCTTCTTCAGTGTACTTTGCATATGGAAGAAGCAGGCAGAATGAGTGCTGGGAGGGCTGTTCCTGAGGCTCGAGGAACTGTTGCCGTAAGACTGCTTGGAGATTGATGGTGTGTATAGGGGAGGATTTGGGGGTTACCGTCACCACGCTCTCACGGCCCAGGACTCAGGAGGGGGAGTGATAATGGCTTGAGGTCCCCCTTGCTGCCAGGGAGCCCCCCTTCCTTACAAAGGCCCCCTCTCCAAACTTTAGGCCACAGAGCAGGGGACAAGAAGGCCAAAGTCCAGGGGCATGACTCACTCAGGGAACAGGCCCAGCCTGCTGGCCAGAGAGTGGTGAGGGAGGCCAAGAGCCAAGAGGCCTGGGTTCAAGTCTGAGCTGCTCCCAGGCCAAGCTGGGTGACCTCGAAGCAGCAGTACAGCCTTTCTGGGTTTGGGGAAGGGGTTAGGGGCTGTGGCTGGGGAAGTGCCAGCATCGAAAGAAGCTGAAGCTAGAGACCAGCAATCACGCACTAGGGGCCATGGGAA